GCAAATCTTACAAAATATGTACCATAAAATGTCAGTGTCACAAGAACCTTTAACATATACCACGTTAGAACTTGAGATATAAAAAACAGAGATATTAAAATTAAAAAAAAAAAGATTGAATACACATATACATGTTATGGGTAGGTGCAACTTATGTAGCAACTCATAGATTGAATACAATCATGCAATTTTCAGAATTTTGGCATCACGAAGATTTGGGATTGGCAAGAAATGAGCACAAATCTCTAGAAAAACATATTGTAAAAGCAAATTAACATCAGATAGATGTCAAAAACTCAAAATAAATCAACACAAATATTACATGATATGTTCTAGAAATGTCAGTGTCACATGAGCCTTTAACATAGACTATATTATAAATTGAATACAAAAATGCTAAAATGCAAAATAAATTGAATACAAAAACAAACAGTATGGATAAATGCAGCTTATGCAACAACTCATAAATTTAATACATACAAATTTTAGATTTTTGGCATCTCAAAAGTTTGGGATTGGCAAAAAGTGAATACAAACCTATAGAACAACATAATGTAAAAACAAATTAAAGTCAGATAGATGTCAAAAACTAAAAATAAATCAACATAAATCTTACATGATATGTGCCAAAAATTTCAATGTCACATGAACCCTTAACATAGACTACATTATAACTTTAGATATAAAAAACATATAGATGTTAAAATGCAAAATAAATTGAATACATAAACACATGTTATGGATAAATACAACTTATGCAGCTGCTCATATATTGAGAATACAATCACACTATTGTTATACACCTCATGCATAAAAATAGATTGAGAATATAATCACACATGTTATGAACAAATTGGGAATACAATCACATATGTTATGGATAAATGCATTGAGAATATAATCACACATGTTATGGATAAATGCAGCTTATGCGGCAGCTCATACATTGGGAATACAATCACACATATTATGGATAAATGCAGTTTATACATTGACAATACAATCACACAATGAGAATACAATCACACATGTTATGGATAAATGCAGCTCATACATTGAGAATACAATCACAAATGTTATGGATAAATACAACTTATGTAGCTGCTCCTACATTGAGAATACAACAGTTGCAATTGTCAAAAAATTAATACAAACCTATGGAATAACATACCGTAAAAAAAATTAAAGTCGGATAGATGTCAAAACCTCAAAATAGATCAACACAAGAAATGTCAACGTCACATGAACCTTTAACATGGACTACATTATAACTTCGGATATAAAAAAACATAAAGATGTTAAAACGTAACATAAATTGAATATAAAGACATGTTAGGGGTAATTGCAACTTATGCAACAACTCATAAATTGAATACAATCACACAATGTTTAGTTTTTTGGCAATATAAATGTTTGAGATAGGCAAGAAATTAACACAAACCTATAGAATAACATACTGTAAAAACAAATTAAAGTCAAATAGATGTCAAAAACTCAAAATAAATCAACATAAACATACATCCATAATTCCATACTAAACCCTTAACCAATTCATTACTATAGTCCAAGCAATCAGATCCAGGTTGTAGTGAAAAAAATGTCATTGTAAACTGTAAAAATAGGATACCGGTTTTAAGAACAGGCTAATAAAACCCAAATTGTAGGTAAAAAAATACATAAAAAAGAGGAAAGACCAACAAAAAATGGGCAAAAACAACAGAAGAAAATGCACAACTAAAAACCCCAATAAATTAGTCAATCTCTTCTATTGAAGAAGAGAGAGAGAGAGAGAGATAGTACCTTGTTGAGGCAAGTGTTGGCAAGAGGCAGTTGCAGAAGAGAGGCACACGAATGCAGGAGGGAGATGCGGCTACAGTTTACAAGGCAATGAGAAATCAAAATGTTTTTTTTTGCTCCTAAATAGGAATGCTAGATCGGCCGAGTTTCGGTGTCCAAAAATTTTCAAAAAATATTAAAAACCCTAAAAATATTGGGAATGGTGCATTATGTAATGTCATTATTTCACAAAAATATGTGAATATTGAGGCGCCACTTCCAGTCTAGATGTTTGTTGACTATTACATTCATATTACTAAAAAAAAACTTATAATAATGGTGGGTATCAATACATGGTCGAAATATAGTGCAACAGTTGAAATACAACCTAATATCAAATTGAAGGACATCATTCTTCCTCTTCATACCGTAAATTGATCACTTTACAAAAATATGCTGCACATTTTGTGAATGATATCCAGTACACAATAGACATTTGAGAGGGGCAAATGTTGCATTATCTTTAAGTAACACAAGGGCTAATATTGACCATAGTGAAGAGCCATAAATGTACCTTGAACAACACGAGAGAGAAAGTTAGGATGGGACATATTCAAAGAGAGAGAGAGAGAGAAAATCCAATTCAAGAGAGAGTGAAAAAATAGAAAAAAAAAGAAAAAAACAATCCAATATTCAAGAGAAGGAATCCAAAAGTGAATATGGAAAAAGAAAGCTCACTCTAAAGAGAGAGAAGAATAAAAGAAAAACTCAATTCAATACTCAAGAGAAAGGGAGAGAGAATTTCACATACTTAGGAATTGGGCTTGGGTCAAGGCGGTAGTAGCTGAGTTTCCATAGTACCACGTCTCAAGTTTCGTTCCTATATAACCTTATCAAAAAAGGAAGAAGAGAATTTCCCAAACCCAATCCATTATTCAATTGGAGCTAAGGAATTTGTTATAAATTAACAAGAAACTAAATCACAATAGATTAACCAAGAGAATTTAAAATTATTCCAAACGCTGATCTTATTGTTGTCTCTACAATAAAAAAACATAGATCTTTATATCTTCCATTTAAAGGCCCGACATAATTGCTTTGCAACGGGAAAGCATTGCAAGAGAGAAAGGAGAGGGGGAGAGAAATCCTATATGAACCTCGTATATCACAAAGATTTTCGATATTAAAACTACATTTTTCGATACTATTTAATGGTGTGCCTTACTTTGATTATTTCGGGCCTCAACCTTATACAAACCACACCTTTTCCTTAAAATTTTTTAAAGACCTCAAATAATAAAAAAAACTGAAAACCAGGTAATCACTGGATCACCTAGTTCATTGAGATAGTTTTGTTTGCGAATTAGCCAGTTTATGAGGAAAACCAACCAGTTCTTGAGATTATTGGGGTTTTGAATAAGCTCAACTGCTTCCTGATATGGATAGGTTAGCTTTGATCCGAATCACTGATTTTTTAAACAATGTATAGAATAGATAAGCATCTAAGAATTAAAAATAAAGGTATTATATATTGTATATATTAAAGATGGTAACAAGAGTCTTGAGGCAGATGTCATGAATAGGATGGCATGTGGGTATTGCTCTCTTCTCATATTATAGGATAATCATAAACACTTGTAGATGTAGATAGTTCAGGATTGGTAAGACTAGAAGGGTGTGGTTGGCATACGGATGTATCTGTAGCTGTAGAGGTCAGGTGCACCTCCAAATTTTATCACGGTATATAATTTTGATGTAAAATGTTTTTAGGATTATCTAAAAATCTATTTTTATATCTAATTATCAAATTTTAAATTTCACAAATGGTTAAAATCAAGTAGATCTATAAATATATGAAAACCTTGAAAATGGACAGTGTAGATAATATGTTGTAAAATACATTATTTCTGATACTTAAAATCTTTTTATTTTTCGTGGTCATACATCTCAATGTCGAGATGATCAATCAAAGGGTTTTTCAACATTAAAACTATTATTTCTGATGGATTTTTGAGTTGCATATGTCGTTCTACATTATAAGGTTTGCATCCTTATATAAACTTTTTCCATAATAGGATAGCATGTGGGTACCACTCTCTTCCCATATATAGGAAAATCTTTAACACTTGTACCTAAAGATAGTCTAGTGTTGGTAATAATATGGAAATCATTGGATTGTCATTCACACTTGTAATCATAGACTATCTAGGGTCGGTATGACATGATCCATTTGATCATCATAACCTTATGACTAAGCATCTAGAATTATAGCCATTGTAGGAATGAACTCTCGACATAGGTAGTCAGGATAGTGGGTGCCACAATATGAAGTCTTAAGTTCCATTACAATCATGGATACGGCCTGCGGCAGATGGCTACAGCCAGCTAGACAATTTGCTAAAAAACAGATGGAAGAGTATGTCGGGCAAAGAAAGGTGTTCCGTGGTCCGAACTCATTTATCCCATAATCAATATGCGATTTTAAAGAGCTTTAAGGCCCATTGATCACGTTTTCGATTAACATGTCGCAAACACTCAGTCATATATATATAATCTAGGGCTTGTATAATATGATCCATATGGTTATCATAACCTCATCACCGCAAGGTTGTCACAATCCCCTCGTGAGGTTATCACTGTCCATTGTTTTGGATTGATGGAGATAAGGGGTTACCACTTACAATTCACTTCTGACATATTGATTTTTTTTTGGGTAAGTACTTCTTGACCCATTGATTGAAGAAAAAAGTTTATATAAAGTTGCAACCTTAACATGTAGAATTAAAGATGCACCTCAAAAATCCATCGAAAAATGTTGTCTTAATGTTGAAAAACCCTCCAATTGATTATCTTGAAAACATGATGTATGAATATTATAAAAAACAAAAAAAGATTTTGAGTCTCATAAATGTTGCATCTTGGAACACATTATCTAGACCATTTATTTTTAGTGTTTTTATATATTTATAGATCTACTTGATTTTAACCATTTATAGAGTTTAAAATTTTATAATTAGATATGAAAATAAATTGATTTTAACCATTTATAGAGTTTAAAATTGTATTATTAAATATGAAAATAAATTTTGAGATGATCCTAAAAACCTTTTACACCAAGTTTATATATTATGATAAAAATTTGGAGGTACGTCTTGATTGGAATCGGATTGTTTAAAGTTTGGAACCTTATAGAAACCAAACCCTTGAAACAGGCAAGAACCACTGACCACGGTGAAATGGGAACTACATAGTTATTGTGACCCCACTAATCTCTATCTTATGTGGCAAAATATCTGATCTGTCTCTGTAATTTGGCAGCTTCATCTCTGAACAACATTTGTCAAGGACCTCTCTCTCTAACAAGAAAGAGAATGCTGCCAATTAATCATTTGGGCTTTACGGGTTTCCCATAAGCTACCGCTCAGCCAACTCAAAACCCTAGACATAAGCTATCCTCACCGTAGTTGTGTTTTCTAGGGTTAATTCCTGCAAAAAACAGCTTGTGACCAATTTAAAGCCATGGTTTCTCCTTTCAATGTTCCTTACTGACTCTATGTTCTCTAGGGATTCCAACCTGCATGATACAGCTCAAAATCTGAGTTCCAAGCCATTGAACCCTGTGTTGCTGAGATTCCTAGGGTTTTGGGAAGATCGCATAGACCCCATGTATCTCTCAGATAAGCAGAGGCAAAGGGAATTCTACAAAGATGAACCCAGAACCATTATAATGGCTCCTGTAACAAATGGTTTTAGGGCACCAACAATGCAGCAACAGCAGCAACAACAGCAACAACAAATGGTGCTTGCAGAGAGTAGTGGTGAAGACCACGAAGCAAAGGCCCAAAAGAAGAGGGCTGAGACATGGGCCCAAGATGAGATTCTGGCTTTGATCGCTCTGAGAAAAGAGATGGATGGGCACTTCAATACCTCAAAGTCCAACAAGCATCTGTGGGAGCAAATCTCGTTGAAGATGCGGGAGAAAGGGTTTGATAGATCCCCAAATATGTGCACCGATAAGTGGAGGAATTTATTGAAAGAGTACAAGAAGGCCAAACACCAGGATAGAGGGGGAGGGTCTGCTAAGGTTTCATATTACAAGGAATTGGATGATTTGGTGAGAGAGAGGGACAAGATTGTGACATACAAGAGCCCTCAGGCAAAAGTGGAGTCATACATGCAGTATTCTGATAAAGGTATGCTCTTGATTTTACTGAAACTTGTTTTTTCTTAGGTATGAAGTTTCTAAAAGGCCTAGGCTTTGTGAAAACCAAATAAATCATCACTTTAAATACTCGTGAAAGCACTTTGGGCAATGGAAATCTATATGATGGTTCTAAAATCAATTTGCAACACCGACAGTAAAATTTGAAACTCAAAAAAATGTACGCCGATCTTTGAACACTTATTTTTAGGGCGACATGGACAGTCTAGATAATTTGTTAAAATATACATATCTTTAGAGCTTCAAATCCAAATTGTTTTTCACAACCATAATGTTCAAGCCGAGATGATCGATGTAAAGGTTTTCCTATGCTTGAATTACAATTTTCGATGAGTTATTAGGTAAGGCTTTACTTATATGATAGGGCTGCAGCCCTATAATGTTCAAGTCGAGATGATCGATGTAAAGGTTTTCCTATGCTTGAATTACAATTTTCGATGAGTTATTAGGTAAGGCTTTACTTATATGATAGGGCTGCAGCCCTATCAAATCGCCCTATCAAATCGATTTCCTTTTCTTAGTCTTTTTTTTTTAAAGAAAGAAAAGAAACGACAGAAAGAGTTGGACTTCTTTGCATTCTAGCTGGACTTCTGTGCATTTTCTTGTGGTGAGTGGTGCTTAAATTATTCATTCCTGTTTAGCTAAGCTGTTTGATATGCTAAGATTCACAATTTGCTATTACGTATTGTTTCTCTTAATGTCGTGTCTTTTGCAATGTAAATTTTAGTATGTTGAGTAACCGGTATCATATAGTGTTTCTCTAGTGTTGATATCTTTTGCTTCTATTGTATGATTTGCTAATTGATCTTATCTCACACCAGGGTTGAGAGTGTACTGAAAGAATTAATTGGGTTTATGTAGAAAGCTTGTCGATATGTTATGGCATTGACATCCAATACTTTAAGTTTTTAGTAAATACAATAGTTGCGGTTGTAGATGTATTTTGGTGTATTCTAGGTCTGCTAATTTAGTTTATGGAAAATTTTCTCTATTTATGTGGCCTTTTTTTTCCTCTATGGGGAGCAAAAGGGACAAAAGTTTTGGTGCAATCAATTTGGAAAAGAACAATAACATGCTATGCTTGGGAATAAACTCTAGCAGTCCAGAATGATAAAGTAATCATTGATCGTTTTCATTCTTTTTTTCTCTTGTTGTTTCTCCATTTAATTGCATGCCCAGCTGAGTAGTAAAGCAATCTATTATTGATGATTAATGAATTCCAAGAAACTTAATTTGAAAAAGAACAGTTTCAAAAGAAAAGAAAAAAGCAACCACAGCCAAGGTCCAAAAGACCCTTCCTTGAGGCTCATAAGCTCGTGCCATAATTTCTCTCAATATAATGTTTAGTTACTTGAATCATCACATCTGACGTGCTTCTCTTCTGACAACCACCACCACCTTGTTACTTGATGTGTAGTTTCACCTTCTTAGGTTCTAAAATGCTCAACTGGCACTCGCTTTAAGAATCGCAACATGGCAAACTTGCCAAAATTCTCTCTGGCAAATGCTTTTCAAAACCAATTCTCATCATTGAAAAGCGGTCCGTCCAGTGCCTAGGAAACCGGGTAGGCGGGCCTGGATGCATAACCTAGGCCTTGGAGGACCAACAAGGCGAGTTGTCCTTGGGTGCCCACCTAGGGACCCTAGGCACCTGCCTAGGCGGGTGCCCAGGGGTGCACCCGCTTACGTGCAACAGTACCCATTGGGTGGGGTATTTTTGGTATTTTTTTTTGTTTGGATTATAAACAATGCATGAATATGCATTTTTGCTACAAAATCTAGACCTAAAATAGGATTACTGGACACCTCTTGTCCCCTTTCGAACTAACCTGGGCGGCCGCCTAGGCGATGGGCAGCCTAGACCACCCCGGCCGCCTAGGCGGCGCCCGACGATTTTTGGAACACTGGTTCTCATTGTTAGTGTGGGGTGATGCTCATAGCATGTTGTCCCCTACAATGCTTTCTTTTTCTGTTTTCTACAGTGGCTTTCCTCTCTTAAATGCTTTCTTTTTCTGTTTTCTACAGTGGCTTTCCTCTCTTAAATGCTTTCTTATTCTGTTTTCTACAGTGGTTTTCCTCTCTTAGCTGAATTGGAGAGCTCTAAATATTTATTTTAAACTACTATAAGGATCTCTGATAATATTCTTCTTATCAAATTTTCTTGTTATTTGAATGTTTTGTTCCACAACTTGCATAACCGCCTAAACAGAGAGTCATGAAAGGAGACCCAAAAATAACATATTGTAAACCCGCATTTTTCCATTATCGATGCTGACTATGCACAAATTTTTCTTTCCTTCTTCCCAAAGCCCTGTATCAGGAACCATGTAGCAGCAACTTTGATTTTTTTCTTTTTCTACAACCCCTGCTACTCTTAACATCATGCACTGGTGAGCTAGGTTTGACATCATCACTAGCTATTTCCCAGCTAAATATACACATCTGCAACATCCGTAAATATGATTGTTTTTAATACCCTAGAACGATATCTCTCTTTGTTCTTTCTTTGTTTTACATCCTCATATGAGGTTGATATGTGTGGTTTTCTTTAGACCTTCAATAAGATTTTGACAATATGGGTGATTCTTATTTGTAACTTGCTGACTAGGTAATGCTTACAATTACTTGTGTTTATGCTTTTCATATGCAGGCCTTGATGATGGTGCCATCCCCTTTGGACCTGTAGAAGGTAGTTGTTGTTGACAATTCCCTTGATGTGTTCAACTCTACTGTAAAATATTTGCTGCTACCCAGTTTGAAAAAAAAAAAAATTTGTTTACTTAGTCAATAGCAATGTTTGAAGAATATTATAATTATTTTAGTTACTTATTATTTCTGAGGAGGCTTTCATTTTTTGTTTTATCGAGATTCATTTTCCTCATGGGTTAATACTGTTTTAGGTATATGCTGGGATGAGAACAGGGGAGGTAGGGAAAAAATGGTAGTTGTTACGGATGTTTCCTACTGCCAGAAAGCAGAGCATAATTTCTATATTGTTAAATATGGATTCTTTTTGAAGAAATTGATAGTGAAACTAAAGAAAAAGGTGCTATTTAGAAAGTGGCCTTTCCCTAGAAAGCATTCCTTCACTCTGTTATATTGGACAAGAATAGAATATTAAATGCTTTTATTTGAGAACTGAGACAAGAGATAGCTTGTCTTTAGTCAAGCTTGATTTGAACATGTTCTCCAAGAGTTCTTTTGTTCGTAGATCTCCCTTTCTCTCTCTCTCTCTC